TGGTTCGCTATCACCGTAATTATTTGCCAAATCTTGCCATTCATATACTACACATCAACAGCATATACCAATTTGGCCTCTATGATACCGATGGTTGGTCGCTCAGGATCCGGTACAAATCCGGATTTGCTAATTGCTGCCATTGCAATCTTCTTTTCCTGCCTATTTGCAGGTTTTCTGGTGAGTACTACTTTTACTCGCGACAATGCTCGCAAAGAAGGCTAATTTAATACGAATACTCTTTAAGATGCCGCTCTACCTGTTCTTCCGTAAAACGCGTACAATCATGCTTTGCTTCTTGGGCGTTACGATTCTCTTCATCGTACTGGCTGTAACGCCAGTTGGTTTCCCCTACACGCCCAAAGTGGCCACCCAACGCTATTCGCTGCTCGTGAGTTGCCATTGAGTTACAAAAAATAAATATCAACTTTAAAAAATGGCACCTCCTCTTTTCAGCATGCAAATCGCATACTCTATAATGCCGATGGCACAGCGCGCGTCAATGAATCGGGCATTTATATCTTCCCACAGGATCGTCGCATACACGAAGTGGATGGTAAGCGGACAATTAGTACAGCAGAGGTTTTATGGAAAAAGAGCAAAGGTTTTGAACGTACATATTTTCAGATATTATCAACAGCATCGGCGTTAAACAACAGGTCGGCGATATTTGTAACGACGAAATTTTCTGCGGCATGCCATTGTTGAATCATCGTTGGCACAAAGCCAGGTAGGTTGGTAGCAAACGGCAGCCACCTAATTGAACACACATTTGATATAATCTTTATTTATCGTCTGTTATAGAGAAACTAGTTTCTGGATAACCATAGACGAACAACCGAATATTCCCAGCGATAAACCGCTACTAACTTTGACATCCCAAACCGCATTGGATACTGCAAATACGCAGCGTTACAACTTCACGCTTGCCGGCCCCGATCACATGGCAATCTATATTGGACCTAAAGCGTCGAATAAAATTGTCAATTGGTCATTCAACGAAACAATGTTGGGCGATAGTTGGAGCCCACCGTTCTTTATTTACTACTCGTATGGTAAAGATAGCAGCGCTTTGGAGTTCTTCATCGACTTGGAGGTAATTGTGCAACCGCGAATATGTTATAATTATATGGGCTCTCGGGTTACCACCCTTCGAATCGAAGGAGACCCTGGGGTCCAAAATTTGGAGACATGCCCGTGTTCAAGTCGAGTGTTTGATAGCACAGAAAATAAGCAATTGAGGTGTTCCAAAGTTTACTTGGTTCCCGGCTTAATGCATTCATTACTACCAGTGCTTCCTATATTGAATGAAAATGCCGCCAGTAGACAGCGAACAGCCAGTAGACTTGTTATCGTTCTGTAGTCTTTCCAATAACAATACCAGTACGAATCGCTTACATAGCAATCGCTTCGAAAACTTTTTCCGTCAAGGTCCAACTGGATCGACAGCCAACACCAATGAAAATTGAAAAATCCACACTCCAATCCTCTAACTGGGTTGAAGAGAAGAACTTTTACATATTTTTATCTGTCGGAATATAATGCAATATGCAGACTTTCGGATGAAAGACACTAGGACAATACATGTATTATAGTTGGACCGCAGGAAAATAAGCGGTCTGCGCCTAAATTTAGAAGAACTGAAAATCTATCTGTAAACACTGCACGATGACGTATTTTTTCTTCGAATTCAGATTCTTAGCTTGTAAAGTTTGCTTTCCTTTCACTTTCATCTTAACTCTCCTCAATTCGTTTAACATTTAAAAACAACTAAATGGTTTCTTACTTTTTTTCTTCAACAGGTTCTCGCCGACAACTCAACCACAGAGAACTTAGAAATCGGTATAGTTGGCCATTGGATCCATCAGACGAATACACGCCCTGACGAATATGAAAAATTCATACAAAGCTTTCCGGACTATGCTTTTGTTGTCGATTGGGTTGCCACCTACGAAAGTTGGCTGTTTTGAATAGATATGTATGAGGCAATAATTAACCATTGTCATTCATATGTATGGAAACTCGAAAACGTTCACATCATGCGATTGTTAGAGCTTCTATATGTATTTGTTGTTATTTCTTACTTTTTTAAGAAATTCTCTTAACCATTAAATATTATGTGAGGCCATAAGAACCACAGTAGCCTATCAAAAAAGAAAGGTCTGATAGTTGAGAACTAACGACATAGTTGCGATCTAAGGCCTTAACTTTTACGCCTTGGAAAAAACCAGTGCTGCTCTGGTTATTTGCAAAAGGAGCAGTGCCTGCAATATCTGCAATTTTATTTTTTTTTGTTTCTTGGCCTCATATAAATACTCTAATTATATTTAAAAATTTGGAATAGTTAGCACTATTGTTCAGTTATGGAATGCACCGAAGAGCATTTGTAAAGATACTCGTAGTTTATTTATACTATTTTACAAGATACATATGTACATATGCATATAAGTATTTAAGTATATTGAATCCGAAATAAACGATATTGAGACTGTTTACTTGTTAAACTTCGTTATTTTTTTATTGAAAAAAAAATGTTCGTCCATTACTCGTAAGTTGTACTGAAAAATCAACAGAAGTAAGTATTCATTTGAGTTGTGGAAATGTGCGCCCATCGCATTGGAATAAAAGTTGTAATATGGTATCTTTGGTCGAGTAACAAAAGCGTTAGAGCACCTTTGACCCTCCAGTCTACAGCTTGCTGCCGAAATAGCTGCTAATATTTTTAGTTACCGCTTTGGGAGATTGATTAAAAATTCGATTGCCTTTAAAGCAGCGATGGGCAGAGAGAGCTTTTACTCTGCTCGCGCCTATACAAAATGTATAGAAAGCTTAAAAGAGCTTTGCCCGCGGGCAAGGCATTGCCCACCAGTGCTTTAAACCGCCAGTAGCACATTTCCTATCTTAGTGCAGTTGAACGCCGCTAGTGCAGTTCTCTCATTTCTCTTATTTCGTTCCTGAGCTCTTCTTCGATCATATTTCAACATATTTGCAAGTAAGGCTCAGTCCCAATTGAGGTTGCGGCCAGCGCCTCCCGGCTAGTCAACACGTAACGCTCTGCTACTGTGCCCTTTTGAGTTTTCGAACCAGCTGTGCACCCATCACCGCTATAAATCCGTATAAGCATTTCCTTATAGATTTCTCCTATGTAGCTCATTTAGTTCATCATTAACCGCATCCCTCTCCCATGAGGATTAGATTTTTAGATTCCGTCACACAGCGATCTTTTTATAAAGACTTTTCCTGGGCGTATAAAGTTTTCCTAAACTTATGACCAAAAATTGGAGCTAAAGATTGCACAGAACCGAAAGTGGTTTGTATCCACAAAGCAGTGGTTTTTTTTGGCCAGCTGACTTAAATTAAATTTGTTAACGAGAGAGCCTTTTTAAAGCTTTATGTTTGGAGTAAAAGCTCCCACTGGTCGTAACTATTCTAAACCAAATTAGACCACCGGAGAGGCTTTTTAAAGCTTTTTGTCCAGAGTAAAAGCTTTTTTTGGCCAAGCTGCCTTAAATTAAATCTGACAACCGGAGAGGATTTTTAACCATTTCTGTTGAGAGTAAAAGCTCCCCCTGGTCATAGCTGCCTTTAACTAAATTTGACAACCGGAGAGGCTTTTTAGAGATTTTTGTCCATAGTAAAAGCTTTTTTGGGCCAAGCTGCCTTAAATCAAATTTGCAACCGGAAAGGCTTTTTAAAGCTTTCTGTTGAGAGTAAAGCTACCCCTAGTCAAGTTGCCTTAAACCACTGATGGGCACTGCCTTGCCCACATACAAAGCTCTTTTAAGCTTTCTGTACATTTTGTATAAGCATTGGTATTATAATGATGGGTGTGTTATATATTCAGAGTCTCTTCCTCGTACTAAATTTTTGATATCTCTGCAACAAACGATATTATGAAATTACTCACTGACAAACGCGAAACCGAGCGAGAAAAATATTCTACTCACAGCGCTGCCACTGAGCATACGATATTTGGAAAAAATATACGATCAAACGCTTGAGGTTTCACTGCGAGTTGCTCCAAGTATTTACATTTATTTCTACTAATCTTTCGAATGCGTCACCGCCCAAACGCCCGATTGCGATTCTAATATAAGGTGCAAGAATTTACCGTTGATTTTTGGCAATTTTTTTCACGCATTTTCTTCCATACAACATTCACAATTTTTTTTTTTTATGGTAAAATGAGCAACACCTTTCACAAAATAAATTCCCAAAAATCAACGATAAGTCCTAGCTACTTAAAATTTTCACTTCACAAAAATGAGTACTCAGAATGCTTATAAGATATCTTATTGAAAAGTTCAAAATTTTGATGGAACTATTTCGAAGTTTGCAAATTTTTGTACAAAGTTTCAAATTTTGATTTACATGGTTTTTTTTTTAGATATCGAACTACACTTTTATAAAAAAAAAAAATAATAAACATTAAACAAACGCAAGGAAAATATCCAAGGAATGCTAAATGTCACTTCCCTATTTATATTTTCGCCACTGTACATATATAAAAAAAATGCATTATTCGCACGTGATTATTTAAACAATATTTATGGTACTTGATCATTATCGCACACATGGTGTGGTCTTAGGTCCAAAATCGCTATCTATATATACTTATAGAATACTAAGATTGTATTAAGTGCTAGGGATTTTATTCTTAATCGATTAAGTAGTCAAACAACTCGTGATTTCGAGACATTTACCACTTCAGATTTCACTCAATGCCCTATAAAAACCTAATATATTCCATTCATCAATGGTTCATTTGCTCGGAAGTGCCGGTGTGAGAGAGTTCGATTTTAGTAAACAGAAAATTAAAACTCAATGCGGTGTATTCAAATCCTATATATATAAACAAAACAAATAGTAGTAGTAGAACCCAACAAGAAAGCTCACAAAAGGTGTTTCACTCTTAATTTGCTCCGCCTAAATTAGCGTGTAATAAAAAAAGGAAAATTTTACGAAATCTTCACTATTCGATCCTAAAGTTAATGTGTAAAATGGAAGAAAATGTTTCGGATCAATCCACAAAAATGGGTGTACGTTATGCCAATTTTTTTTTTTTAATAATTTTATACTGAAAATTGTGGAAGCAGTGTGCGTTACGAACGAAATAAGCAAACGAATCAATTCTTACACGCAGACGAAAAAAAATACGACAGCATGCCAGTAAAGATAACAATAAAAATAAAACCGACAATTACGATAATAACATTAGCTTACGATAACACCATCGACCACCTAAACTGCAAATCGTTTTGTCCCTCAACAGCCCAGACTGTGTGCGGTAACTTCAAATTAATGCAAAAAAACTTTCGAAAGCTTACGAGACTAAACAAAATTTCAGGAACACAAGAACCCCAGTTCGTTCCCAGAGTTCTTGGCTACTAAGTCTATTGGGCAGCAGGTTTAGTGACTTATTTAATGCAACAGTGGTGGGTCATGGACAGAGCTCCAGTTATACAGCAGCGTAGAGCGGTGTAGGCCCTTTAGCAGCTGTATATATCCGATTGGATAGATATTTTTGGTTATAAGCCTTCTTAAGCCTCTTTAGTTTGATACATTTAACATATTGATTATTTAATTTATCTCATCAATTAATTATTAATTAAATTGAATTTTTCAAATAGATGGCAATTCTCTTTAAAAAATATTTTCATCTGTAAGCCTTCGTAAACCCCTTTCTTTTTAAACCCATACATATTACAAAATTTAATTTATTTTATCAATTTCAATAAACTCAAATTTTGAAACGGATCGCAACTTTCTAAACTTTTTTCTCTTTAAACCATCCGGATATTATAGCGAACAAATCAGAGAAATAAATAATATAAAAAAAAACTTTTTAATATACAACGCTATTATAAATGGACTAAAAAGTAGAAAATAATATTTCTCGGTCCCATAGAATTTGTTTTGAGTCGTTATAAACAATTAATGAGATTGAAAATGAAAAGCATGGGGCGCATATAATAGCCACCTGAATTGATATGAAAAGTAATATATGTATGTATGTATGTGGGTATATGAATAACGACCGCTTAAAATCGATCTCAAATTTGTACTTTCGCTGAAGAAATTTTAGGTCTATGTTATGTAGTTTGCCTATTGTCAATTAAATATAATGCTTTGTATTGCATGCGCCCCACGCTTTTCATTTTCAATCTCATAAATTATTTATAACGACTTTTGCTAAAATTTCAAAATCAAAAGTTATCAAAACAAATTCTATGGGACTGAGAAATATTATTTTCTACTTTTTTAGTCCATTTATAAGAGCGTTGTATATTAAAAAGTTTTTTTTTTTTATATTATTTATTTTCTACTTTTTTGTCTTGTCTGTATAAAATTTTGCGATAGATATTAAAATAATTCAACGATATTAATAGAAAGGTGCACACACATGCATTTACATATGTATGTACATACAAACGAGCAACAATTAATTTTATTTAAAGAAATGGCGTGTCGTCTATTTCCGCTGTAGCGAACGTAGTACATAGGGCGACATCTAGATGTCATCTACCTCGCCCTATTCACTACAGATGTCGCCCTATGCACTCGACTTTTTTATAGGAACTTTGCAAAGCAACTCGTCTGGTTTACTTCTCTCCACTTTACTTACATCACCGCATCCTGGTCAAGTTAGACAGCAAGCGTATCCTCGGTTACTAATTCCAGCCCAAAGACTTTATGTAAATCCTTAGCCAATTGGGCTTCCACGTTACTGTCCTTCGGTTTTGAGGAGTAGTTATAGAGTACCCGTGACTCAACACATCTTCCTAAATTTTGGGTGGAGCTTGTCTTCTACCTTCTTAAAGCCGGCGCTTTCCAAACGCCTGTATTGATGAGGAGATTTTGGCGCTGAATTGGTAGCAGGGCACGACTATCATCACCGGTTTCAGCTTGAAGTCATCGTGGCATTTGAAAATCTTAACTACCCGAAAAAACCACCGCGCACGTTTATTAGGTTCATCCGTCAGTTTCCATTGTCAAGCCACCTTCTGTCCATTTTGCTGATTCCGTCGATGAACACCACGAACAGGTGTCCTTTGGCCACCTCACTAATCTTCAAATCGTTAAAGTTCGAACTTTAAACAAAACAAAAGCTGACGAATGCGTTGTGTATTAGGCTACTGGGGGACTAGTCTAGGCAGCAACTTTAACTTAGTTATATATTCCTTAACCAATCGATAGAGCCAGTTATAATACCCCAAGAATATTAACGATATTTAAAAAGCCAATAAAGCGGTTTGTTTTTTACTTTCCTTTCATGTTCTCTTTTACATACATACGCACAGCCAAAAAACAAACAGCACAAAAAACTTCCGTGGTATTATGCACCCATCTATACAGCTTTTTGGGTTGTACTTTACCTGGCCGTAGTGCTCACTCAAGTCAACTATCTGCCCACAACTCGCACACGTGCCGATGAATTAGCGCACCCCGATTCCTTCATTGGCGAGCGAGCTGAAGATATACTGCTCAATTTAACCAAACTCGGACCGAGAGTGTTCGGCAGTGAAGCTAACGAAATCAAAGCGATAGAACTAATATTGAACGAAATTAAAAATATACAAAAAATAGCGAGCGATTATTTTGTTATCGAAGTGGATACGCAAGTTGCGTCCGGTGAATACTTGGGCACGCGCTTGTACCAAGGCGTGCAAAATGTGGTGGCGAAATTGAGCGCGAAAAACAATACGAGTTCGAATTATTTGCTCATAAATGCGCATTTCGATAGCGCGGCTAGCAGTCCAGGTGCATCAGATGATGGTTCGATGGTGTCGACTGTGTTGGAAGTGTTTCGCGTCATTGCAAAATCTGATGGACCACTCGAGCATCCCATAGTTTTTTTATTCAATGGCGCTGAAGAGGAATGGTTATATGGATCGCATGGATTTGTTACACAACACAAATGGGCGAAGAACTGCAAGTAACTTTTTGATTATTTTCATATTTGTAAATTTATAATATTAACTAATTTTAAGCTGTCTTTAAGAGTGGTAATCAACTTGGATGCTTGTGGATCGCGTGGTCGTGAGCTTCTTTTTCAATACGCCGCTGACAGCTCATGGCTCATCAATTATTATAAACGTGTGCCACATTTGTTCGCTACTGCAATGGGCGAGGAATTTTTTCAAACTGGTTTTATACCATCATCTACAGATTTTGTCATTTTTCGTGATTATGGTGGCATGCAAGGTGAATTTTGTATTGCAGAATTTTTTATTTGTTTTATAATTAAAAAGTATGTATGTACTTTGCTCATTTTAAGGTGTTGATTTAGCATATATATTTAATGGTTATGTATACCACACGGAATTTGATAGGATCGACGCTTTGTCGAAAGGTTCACTTCAAAGTACTGGCGATAATATCCTAAGCTTAGCCAAAGCCATTGGCAATGCACCGGAAATGCGGAATATAACGGTAAGAAACCCCGACTAGTAACACTGCTCAGTTAAAGCTCTAAAATTAAGCCTTATGCCGGGTTTCCACTGGGCATTGAAATGGCAAAATAGTAGAGAAGTGTGTGGATTTTAAATGCATATTGTCATTTGAGAATCGGCTTAATGCCTAGGTATTATTATTAACGTGATGACTCGAGTGTTATTAATGCCCAAATTTATCGTTAAAATTGTTACTATTTCAATTGCCAGTGGAAATCCGGCATCAGAATAGTTCTTACTTGTTTACGGGGCCATTACCATAGTAAAAAGTATTTCATAAGACAAATTAAAGACAGATGGCAAGATAGTTTTAAAGCACGGATGAGCACTGCCTTGCCCGCGGGAAAAGCCCATTTAAGCTTTCTATACATTTTTTAAAAGCGCGAGTAGAGTAAAAGCTCGCTCTGCCCAACGCTGTTTTAAAGACCTTTGTTATTCTAGCGCAAAAGCCTTAAAAAAAGCCCTCTCATTCAACGCTCCTGGTGAAAAGCTCTTTTGCCAGAAAGCAGTTTACATTTTCTAAATAAATATTCTAAATATAAAGATATACTGCCTTATTCTGAGTTTCGTCCGCACAAAATTTCATTCGAAAATTTTTATTCCGCCCATAGTAAATATTGGAAATCAAAATTGAAAAGTGAACCGGTTCGGGGAAAATGAAATTCATTATAAGGCTGATAGACAAATGTATTCATAAATGCTCAGAATGAAAAGTGAACTCGATTAAGCGGTGATTATCTGTCCATCCGTCCGTCTATGCACACGATAACTCGAGGAATTTAGATATATTTATTAGCGAAACTTTATTAACGACTGAAGCTTATTTAGGCGGAAAATAAGAATGTTAAAATTTTTTGGTGATACCTACCATATAAAGTTGCCAATCCCTTTCGTTATAAATTCTACTGATAAATATTTAACTGGAAGCAGATTATTGGTTTACGCTTATGATTTCGCCGAAGTCCCATCCACTATTTGAATGTACAGATATAACAGGGTGATGTTGGTGACTTCGCTGGTATCACACTGAGTAGGGATGCACAACATGTCATGGCCATGACCGTCGATAGTTTCGATAGTCGATAGTCACAACCATCGATAGCATCGATGCTATCGAAAATGATCAAAAAAGTCCAAAAATTCAACATAACAACTTTTATTGAAAATGAAATCAGAATTGCTAAAATATGTCTATATTTTTTTTAAGGAACAAAAGTTTGTCAACGATTTTGGCTGCAAGCCGCATCTGCGCTCTGAAATATGTACATATGTTACTGAATAATATATGTATGAGTGAAAACTATCGAAGGTGCTTACAAAACTATCGATTTTTTCGATAGTCAAAAACCATCGATACTATCGATAGTGCCATCGATAGTTTTCCAGCTCTAAAGTCACGTAAAAATGATTTTGTATCAATAAGTTAAGAATTGAAGGGTTTTTTTGTAAAAAAAAAAAATAGAAACAGTTTCGCGAATTATTTGACCAGAGCTACGACCTACACTAGTTCACTAAAAAATTTAGTTTTCATAGTTCACAGTGTAATATTTGATCAATAAACTTATTAACAACGATAACTTTATTAATACAAATCCGTTAAAGGATCTCCCGGCTGTGGACTCATACCTCTTATATGTACCTCTCAAAGTTCCATAGCACGAAAATCTCGCCTTTATGCATAGTCATACATTCATACATATGAATTTGGAAATTTTCAGGCGGATTATAACAACAAACCTATCATATACTATGATTTCCTCGGCTGGTTTATGCTCTCCTATACGCTCAACACCGGCATTATCATCAACTTCGTGGTATGTCTGGTCACCTTAATTGCCATTGGTATCTCGATGTTCTTCATGTCCAAACATGATAGCCTAGGATGGCGTGTCATTATCGCTCACTGTGCTCTCGCGTTCCTTATACAAATTTTATCAGTCGCGCTGGGTGCTGGCAGTTCAATTTTAATAGCATACTTGATGGATAGCATGGGTTATTCCATGTCGTGGTTTTCCAGTAATTGGCTGATATTTGGCCTCTACTTTTGTCCAATGTTCTTTTGCTTGGGCATATTTCCGGCAATCTTCTTGGAGCGCACAAAACAAGTAAGCAAATTTCGAAAGAAAAATATGAAACAAAAAAATGTATACCTATTCTTTTTCTCCTCATATATAGCATCCACTCTGTTTGAGTTTTCGCATTCAACTCTTCATGCACTCGCAATGTCTCATTCTAATAGCACTCACGATCGCTTTGACACTTTTAAGTATTCGTTCGGCGTTCATGCCTATGTTGGCGATATTTTTTTATGCCGTACCTCTTATCATAAATTTGATTACGAAGCTGCATGGGAAAGGTACATTTTCAATACCTTTTATATCTACGACTCAACTTGATCGAACTTTCATTCTTCGCATATTCACATTTGTATAGGTCAATGGTTTGCCATCGCTGTCATCGCGAGCCAAATAATACCCTTCCTCTATTTCTCATATGTGGCACAATTTTTATACAATTTGCTAATACCGATAATGGGACGCATAGGAACCACCCTTAATCCTGATATAGTAATCTCCATTGTTGCCATCATCTTTTCTCTGCACATTGCTGGATTTTTGGTAAGTTAACGAATTATTCCCACTGGCATTTTTGTTTCATATTAGTTCCTTTTCAGATGCCAATCTATTTTTTGTACCGGAAATCACGCACTATCATTTTTTGCTTCCTGGGCAGCACTTTACTTTTCATTATATTGGCGATTACACCGATCGGTTCACCCTATACCCCGAGACTAGCTCCGCAGCGTTATTCAGTTCAGGTAAGATTTAACCGATTTCAAATAATTTACAGTTTTAGCTTTATATACACATATGTATGTTTGTATGTATGCAGCATGCAAATCAAATATATTACAATGCCGATGGCAGTACGTTCTTCAATGATTCAGCCTTTTATGTGTATGCAATTGATCGACACATCAATACAGCAGAAGGTACGTATTTACATACATATATGACGCTATAGAAATCGATATCATTACGTTAAATACATACCTTTATATGGACCAATCCATGTCAATTCCAAACATTGGAATCCACCATTTTTTATTTGGATGAATTTTGGCCAGAACTTTTTTATCATACCTTATCATCTTGGTGATATTTGAGGCTATAAAATAAAAATACATATATTAAAAATTATAAAAAAAAAAGTTACAGAATTTTGAAATTTAAAACACCGCAAAAGCTAAAACGTTTGTACATTAGAGTGGTCCTGTTTTTGTATGGGCACAAAAATTTTCATCCCAGAAAACGGCGCACCACCTTAGTTTTTTTCTTTTGATATTTGAAATATCTATACCAATTTTCAGTTTTTTACTATAACCAATACAAGGTGCTCAATCACTTTGAAATCCGCTACTGGATCGCTGTGAAACTGGCAAAAATATTAGTGATTTTTATAAAAAGCTATTGTTGCCATGACAACTGAAGCTTTTGATATTTTAATAGATAATTTAAATTTGAAATGCTCTTAGGTTACTTAACCATTTGTTTGATGAATATATGTACACTTTTTGCTTTTGTGCTTTTAACAAGAGGAAACATTTTGGAAGGTGCCCCAAACTCTATCTGGGAAAAAATTTTTTTGAACCACTCTAATGTGCATACTTCAAGTACATATAGAAATTGCTGGCTAGTTTTTTATGCAGTAAAACTAAACTAAAATTGTTTAACATAATTTTATTTAGGCGTTATAAAAAAGTTCCCAAGTTCAAAATACATAATTCAAAAAAAAAAAAAACTAAAAACATTTTTCTGAAAATTTCAAATCTTAAAAGATCAGTTAGAAAGTAAGTAAAAAAATGTTGACAAAAATTGTTATAAGTTTTCCTTTTACGATATTTTTAATTTCAAAATAATGTAATTTTTTTTTTTATATACATACTTATTTTCTTTATAGCCCCAAAATATTACCTTTAAAACGAGACCAGCAATTGAATTCCGGCAATCGCTTTGCTAAATTATCGTCACACTCAGCACTATCGCCTAAAAGTATACAATTAGCGATAGCGAATGTTGGAATCCGGCTGCATTCGTTTCTCCCTGGAATCCTAGTAGAAAATCTATTGTCAAAGCAGAATAATTGACTGAAATCCAGAACTGTTGCTTTCAATCTGGTTGCGTTGCAGCTGGCTTGTAGTTTATTGTAAAGGTCCGCTGGGAAAAAGATTTGGTTCAGGTAGTAATTATTAAAATAGAGGTTGCACCCTATCTGAGTTGCTCGTAAATATACATATGTATATATGTGAACTTGTCCAAGGCCGGCCACCGCAGATTAGTTCCAGTGTACTAAGTATGTGTGGTTAAGTTCGCCCATTTCTGCCTTACAGGCTTTTCTGAAACGATCTGTAACATTCCGATTACATTTTAACTTCTTGCCTACAATGGCACCGCTATATCTGACATCGTTAGAGAGCTTGAGACTCGTCCCATTAAGAGAGAATGTCTGAAAATACGGTGTGCGGAACTTTCTTGTAAATACTCAGTACAATTTCGGTCTTGGCGGGATTAACGTTAAGTCATCTCTCCCATGGGCAGCTGTTTAGAAGACAGAAGACGTTCTATAGAAGTTCACAAAGTATCTGGAGATGGAAGACGTGAGAGGAGTCTCGGCTCGTTGTGTCCACAACTTGAGCACATCCACGCCCTACCTCCGAAGGCACTATTGAAATTTCTGAGGGATCTGGGCTTAAATGAAGTGTTGTGAAGATAAGAGGGCACAATAGACCACCAGGTCGCGGAGTACACCTCACATTAATATCTATCTATCTATCTATATATCTGGAGATGCGTATGCCAATACTTGACAGCCGGTATTGCGCTGTCTGCATTTCAGAGTAGAGCGCAGAAGACTTCCCCCTAAGGGCGGCCCTCTCGTTGTATATCTTGTTATGGATACGCACCCCATCTTTAAGGTTATAATTCTCCTCTTTACGGATTCCACCGGTACGGTTTTTAAAAAGTTGAGAGTAGGTTAAATATGCGACATGTTTTCATGGAGCCAGCATAATTAGCCATAGCGTTGGTATGCAGTTTCCCTTCTACCCCTTTGTGTCCTGGCTCAAAAGCCGCTGCTTGAACGAAAGCAAGAATAGTATACACACTTTGGATAGAAAATATAATTCACAGTGCACAACAAAAGCAAATAAATAACTATTGAATAGGTCTAAGTGTGTATGTGCATATCTTTATTGCTGTTAAACAATAAATATGTATATTTTCTAAATAAATGAACCGTTATCTTTTCAGAGGTCATAAATCATTTTAAGGCAGCTCACGATATTGACGATGCTTGCAGCGACGGAGCAGCATGTGAGCTCAGCAAACCCAGGTGGGCTATGAATATTCTAAACTACCTAACTACATACAAATAGGCGTGATGCTTAAAGGACTATTGACAACTTTTTTTCTATTTTTAAGTATTTTTTATACAAAGCGCAGTTTCTGGCTACCCGTCGACGAGTCGCCTATTCTACCAGGCGAAAAGCCGCTCCTGGCGCTCACTGCCAAGACTATGTTGAATGCAACAAACATACACCGTTACAATTTCACCCTAACAGGACCAGATCATATGTCAATTTTGATTAAACCAAAAGCATCGACTAAGATTATAAATTGGTCTTTCGACCAAGCCGTGTTGAAAAGAAAGGAATACTATTTTGTGTTTTCATATGGCAAATATATTAAACCACTGGAGTTTTTTATGGATTTGGAGGTGCCTATTTTTTTTATTTTTATTATTTTTATTTAATGTTTTTTTTTTTTATATGAACTTTTCAGTCACCTGCGAACGAGTCGGCCTTGGCAAATTTAGAAATTGCTGTTTCTGGCAACTGGATACACCAATCAGTGCAACGTACCAAAATTTATGAAGAGTTCCTGAAAAGTTTTCCAGCTTATACGACACTTCAGAGTTGGGTTGCCATCTATGAAAGTTGGTTATTTTGAGGTGTCGTAATGGTGAAATTTACGTATTGATGTATGTGTTAAAATGGAAGCAATATTTGTATTTCTTTGAATAAAAATTAATTAATTAGCTATATCCTATAATAATCTTTAATGCATAAGAATTCATATCAGTTACAGTTTTGTAACTTAATTTTATATAAAAAAAAACTAGTTTCTACTGTGCCGGTAGATGGCGTCAGAGCCGAGAGCGTTGCTATTTAGTTTTCCACCAATGTACAGTGTTTCCAGTAAATATTCATACAAAAACGAAGTAGTTTTTTTTTTATTAATTAAAGCTGTATTAGGAAAAGTTGAAACGGCTACCAATTTTAAGGCTAGTATGCAGCTCTCACGATGACGGCCAAGAAACAAATGTCCATTATTTCGTGTGTGTGTGTCCAAAAAATTTTGACATCTGATGCTTCACAGCCTGTTGTCTAACTCTTTCCTCAAGAAATAATGGGAAACGGGCATATATTTCTACTGCAAACAAGGGTTGCGGCATACTGGCTTTCAACTTGTAACAACACCCATTTAACATAGTTTTTAAGAGAGATCCCGTTAGTTACGTTAAGTTGCCATAATCAGACCATAAGTCTCTTGCATAAAATCAAATTTTTTAAAAATTTTAGAAAGTTTGTCTGCCATGCATAAAATCGAAATGCTACCCTGCTAAGCAAGCTCTAAGGCTTAGGGCGTATAACCGGTTGCATCTACTTCAAACAGAGTTAATTTTAAGCAGAAAGGCTTACATTAGTAGATCGCGGCGACTTTGGCTTACAATTCCCACTGAAACTCCTGCTCTAAAAGAGGAGGAGTAGTCCAGAGTAGCTACTACCAGCAGATGGACGTCCTAATCCGAACCAATGCAGAGTATCGTTACGGCTCAAGCTGCCCGGTGATAAGCGAAAAATCTGGCTTCTTACAGGCACAATAGCCCGTTGGACACATGACTGCTACGTCCGCAGCCACGTTAATCGAATATGTATATGATTTAAGTAAAATATGACAAATGGTACAGGTATTCCATTGCCTTCCGAGGAGCGGCCGCTTTAAAAAAAAAACTCTTTTTTTGATATTGTTCGGACCATAGATTCAACCTTGGTTTCACCAGGTGGTAGTGCACATCTCTAGAAGTAGAGAACGATCAAACAAAATATGTAAAATACGTTTTATACCACATCAGACATGGGGTATCAGAAGAGGTACCAACATCTTTTATGAGGCTCGTTATTTTCATACGAGTTTTTTCGCGATTGAGTCATAGAAGGGTTGGAACGATAAACGTGTACGTAAATATGTACTTAAGCCCACACACATGTGCCTGTGTGTACTATTTCACAAAGTCACGGAACGTAATTGCGGCACGCGCAGACGATAAGTCAGAGCAATAAACTACACTTTACAGTTTACAACTAAAAGATTTTCTTTACTCCTACGTACTACTCATAATTATCGAATATTATCAAATCACATGAAATTGTTACCAAGAGACCAATTAGATATTGTGCCACGATTCGTTTAACAAATATATATCTACACACAAGTGCGAGTATAAACAAATAACAAAGCTGGTGGTTGGCAACAAGATAGGCATATTCAATTCAATTCAAAATGTAACTACGTAACTACTTCTTCTTGATTGTGGGTTACATATGCGCTGTTAAGAATTTTCTTCCAAAAGAGAATCTAGGTACGAGTTTGCCATTTGTGGCCAAAAACAAGGGATATGTATTATTCTGACAACTCTGTGAGCTAGAAACTCCGATCATCGTTTGCCAGTCCAGAAAATGTAGACAAAACATTAACTTCATTGCTTCCAGCGTTCTGTTAATCTTCACTTCAACGTAAATTTTCTATCTCAGCTTCTCAGCAGTATTTATAGAAAATAAACTTTACTAACAACAATAATTTCAGCTTAACTGCTAATTATGTCTTATACCGCATTTCCACTGGTCATTAAGTGACGAGAATTTAACTGCTAAATTTGGGCATCAAAAATAAAGATAGTCATTAAGTTGATCTCCACGTGTCATTTTTAAAAGGCAATTTTTTTTTTTCAATGCTTAGCAGAAAACCGGCATTAGCGTGACGTAGTGTCATTGTTTCATTGGCCACGATTAAATGTTTGTAGTTAATATTTATTTAGAGAACTGTTAAATGTAATTTAATTTTAATGCTTCAAAGCACGCACGCTATCCAAATTTGATCGCGTCTATTAACAAGAGATAAAACGAAAACTTTGGAATTTTACAAAATTGGCATTCATTTAAGAAGAGAATAGGTGCGCAACTGAAGTGGGATTTCATTTAAAATATTTGTGTTTTCGTTATGTAGTGTAATTTCAAATGTCCATATATTCTGGTCCCTTTTTGATTCCAATTCAAAATAAAGAGCATTTGAAAGATATGTGCAGATACTACACTGTGCTCTTAGCCATAAGATCGACAAGCGAGTAGAACTTAGATTTTACCCATATATCTATCCTTTAGAAGCAAACTTAAAACTTTAATTATGCCCAATTTCAGCTTTAGAGACATTATAATTGTGAGACTGAAGGGTGAGACCAGCGACGCATGAGGATGAGGTTTAACCACCTCCGTTGGTAAAGGACAATTATGGCAGAAGTTAGAAGTCAAAAGGGCGCGACGTCGTTTTTGCATTCGCTGCTAACTCAGATCACACAATACATTTTTGACCGATCTGGTCTAATTTGTATATACCCGTACATACATAAAAGCATGCAGTATTTCATAGAGGGTATGGTGTCAAATTACGCTGGTCAGCAGCACCAATTAAATCACTTTCATTCACATTGCATACATCAATTACCTACATACACACATACATGCAACATACATATGCATGTGTATTGTACATATTTGTTTTAATTTGTTAAAAATTAGTTTTCCTTTACTACAAATTATAGCTTTCAACCGCAGCCAGTGGCATTTGAAAACTATGTTTGATGTGCAGTCTTCACGAGCGTTTGTCATATTCGGTGCAGTCCGTTCGGTCGCCGGACAGGTCTTATTTGTTCTCCTCATTTCATGCAGTGATTTTGTTTAGTTTTCATGTTCTTGAAAGATAATATTTATATACTTAGCTATGTAAATATACATATAAGTAGGTCTATGTACTTGCATACTACCTTGCCAGCAATTTTTTATCGCAAATTCGATACAAAAATTCTGTGAAAATCATCGCCGACGATATCGCTATTTTACTTTTTTTTTTAATGGCTTACGTCGGACAACGTCGGGAAAATGCTATTATCAATACCAAAAGGGTCACGAAATTCTCCCAAAATAATAGATTTCAAGTGAAACGTAATTTTGATGATTTTCACTCAAAAATTTTTTTTTGTTTTATGTACTTCTAATAGACTGTATAGTTACGGTTTCAAAGGACGTATGGAAGGTTTTTATAGTCAAAAATTAAAAGTGATGCCATCGTACAGTTCCATAAGTAAAGTAACTCTTCTTCTTACCGTTTTTTCTGGCAGGCTGTAGGTGTATTTTTGGTTCAGTGTATTGGTGTTTTTGGTTTAGTGTGCTGGTGTATTTTGAATAAATTTTAATACAAATAAAAGAAATTGTAATAGAAAGGAAGGAAATTGTTGAAAGATAAGAGCACACGCAAAAAAAACAGATGATCTCAGCTGTTGTCATTTTTTGGCAATCAGCTGATAGTGTTTTTACTTATGAAACTGTACGATAAGTGATGTATCCGGTCTAGTTTTTTTTTTCAAAGTGTATTGGTTGCAACCAATATGCAGGAATATTTTGAAAGTCTGTTTTTATAGACCGATTTTGTTAAAATTGGCAATGAGTATTAGATACGTAGTAAGAAATATATTTACATAAAATGGTGCCCCTAGATGGCGCTTTAGTCGAAATATTGACTCACATATTAAATATAGTGTTATAAAAGTGCTGTAAAAAACTCAAAACAAAAAAAAAACAGGAATTTAAATTATTACATATTTGTGTTTCTCCACCTTACCCCACGTCTATACCTGCTATGGGCATTCGCATACGAGCTGTCAGTTTTCCCGCATACAAAGTCTTACTGTAGAGAAATTTTGTTTTCGACGAATATAATTTTAATATTTTATAAATGTTGCGAAATTTTCATTTTTTCTTGGTTGTGCTTTAACAGGTTTTCTTTGAATTACACCACTTTTCCTTTATCGGAATAAAAAAAATTAAAAAAAAAATAGTTGTTAAACTCAAAGACAGGTACGCGATTAAAAGTATGCGATATCTCTTGCTTTATATCGTATACATTCTGCAACGAACGGTCTATACAAGCGTTATATGTCTTACGATGTTTCGTATGCGAGCGCCCATAGCATATATAGACGTGTAGTTAAACGACCTCGCATCCTATAAGCCTGACTCCAACCGTTCTTTAAGCCTATCGCAGGAAGTTTGTTTGACAACAGCCGCATTTTTCGCTCCCACCACGAACCTGTCAATCACCCATATTTGGAAAAATTCCCCCTTTTATGTGATTTGTTGCTGCCATGCTTAAAATTTAGAAAAGCTCAATGAAAAAATTTTGTTCACCAAAAAAGGGGATTTTTTTAGCATTTTTTGATTCTAATCGCCTTTTTTTAATTGTACGATTTTATGCAAATTTTTACTGTTAGCCCTTGATATACAGTCGATCGATTAAAGTTTCCTGAAGAGATCCGATTGCTACACGCTGATATACAATTTATATTTTTATATGAAAAAAGTGAAATCCCATTGTTAATTTTAAATGTAAGGATGGCGTTAAACTTCTAAAACAATGTTATTAATTAAGTTAAAATGAAAAGTATACCCAAGACTAGAATCTCGTTAGGAAATGAGAGTGTTACCACCACTGATGGATAAAGGCCGGAAAACTGGCCAACAAGCGCGGACCGATTTTCTCTTATACCAGAAATCCGTACGCACATATGTATATCGTATCTGAACTTTCTTACTTACTATCCCCCCCTAACTTCCAATAGTGACGAAGAGGTGACATCGTGGCGA